AGTCTTATCGACATAATGACGAAGTAGAACCCGATGTCCTTCAGGGAGGGCCCTCACAATGGTGTTTAAGCGTATACTCCTGTTTTATCTCTGTCTTTACAATCGACAACGGATACACACACTCGAATAACTGAGGTTGGACCTCAATAATCATCAACACACTACACACGGTGTAATGATACGATGTGACAGATAAACACTACGTGACAACCAGACTCTCGTTGTGTGTGTGTGTGTGTGTGTGGTGTGTGTGGTGTGTGTGTGTGTGTGTGTTTGTGTGGTGTGTGTGTGTGTGATGTGTTGTCGTGTGTGTGTGTGTGTGTGTTGTGTGTGTGTGTGTGTGGTGTTGTGTGTGTGTGTGTTGTGTGTGTGTCGTGTGTGTTTGTGTGTGTGTGTTTGTGTGTGTGTGTGTGGTGTGTCAATAATTTGGTGCATACCCAAACACACGGCTTAACTTGGGTCAGAGCGGCGAGTATGGTGTACCGAAAGAGAACGTGCGACGAACTCTTGTCCTTACACTTGCCGAGTTAAATTGTAATTTAGTCACAAGTAGCTCATAAAAAGAGGGTGTTTCCAGTTACACCCGTAAACAAACCACTCCCTACTTGAGTTGGTTTTCGTGAATTTGTCATTCACTGCCAACCTGCTCGTCGTGTCAATTTTTTTTTTGTACGGTATTTTTGCGAAGTACAAGTATGTGTTTTATGTGGACGTTTGTGTGAATGTTCGGTTGGTATGTGTGTGGTGTTGTCCTTTGTTGGCGAGAAGGGGGAGAAAAACAGTCAAGTCTGTCGGTACGCCCATTATTTATTTAGGGTTTGTTTCGCGAGTTCGGTTTGGCAGTGTTCCTGTTTCGCGTTTTGTTCGAGGTCTCTTTGGTAAGTAACAAATCGATAAATGTTGTCTCGGTCGAGGGGCTTTTTGTTGTACGTAACCTCTTGGCGTCCTCGGTTCAAAAATAACATGTATGTGTTATTACATGATATCGAGACAATCAAAAAAGGATGTCGACATGTCATTATAGAAGTTTTGGGTGCTGTCTCGCCTCGCGGTTTCGGACCTCGGACGCTCGGGGAGGAGGATTTGAAGTATGAACACGCTGTCAAACTCCTACGACCTCTCCGGTCTGCTACCTCGACCCAAGAGACAGAAACGACTAAAACAAAAATACGAGAAGTGGACTGTCGCAGTCAAATGGCACCACCACAACAGTACTTCCTCACCACCCTTACCAAGACCTCTCGCTCCTCCTGTTTCTCTTACACACTCTTCCTTCTGAGTCTTCCTTTCACTACTCCTCTAAGACGAGTAAAGCAATACATTTAATTTTTTCACATCGGTTGAATATTCGCAGTCTGACTCCATCACTTTTTTGATCTTATTTTATAAACTGGAAATGAATTGCCCTGGTCTAGACGACGTGAAATCAACTTACTTGAAAATTTATCGTAGGTCACACTTATACAAGTCGTTCACAGCCGAGCCGGTTTCCTAAGTCTCGACCCTATTTCTCCCTCCGAGCAGTTGTGAACCAGAACGCTAGGCAGGACAGAGAAACGAGACGACTGAGTTACGGAATCATATGTAGACGGACTGTAGAAGTGTGAGTAGTGTGAGACTCTTTCACTGCCCGTGAAGCTCTCACTCCACTACTCCACACCACTAGAAAATCCATTAAATCTCTTCGTCCCACCGTCAGCAAAAAAATTAATGTCTACTATCTCCTCCAACACCACATACTATTTCTCTCATACTACTAAAACAATTTACACATCCACTTCTCTTAACTTTCTACCCCAAAACATGTACTTCGGTCCTAAGAGTGGTCTACGTAGTCTACACCTCACCTCTCAAACATGACACCCTACTCATCCTACCACTCCAAAGTGTCCCTCCTACGTCTCCTCAGACACTATCACTTAGGAAACATCACCTTACAGCATACTATATACTTAGGCAGAGACACTAAATAAGGAAGTAATTAAATGCGAGACCTTTTCTACTTACCATTCTCAACCCTCCCCTCCGATCAATTACTTTTAAGATTAGTAGAATAACCATGCATCCAAAAGAATACCTGATAACTGATGTGAGCAGACACAGGGGCCATACAATCCACTTGTCACCAACCACAAGGTCTGAACATTTTTGCTAGGTCTAAATAAAAGTAATATTGACGGAGGGGAGGGGTGAGAAGGAGGACAAAAAGGTAACTAGCAACTAGGATTCATAAACAGTGAATCTCTCGCCATAAAATAAATGGAGGCTAAGGAGGGTTCCCAAGGCAAACAGGTGGTCGCAGAGAGCACGAAGGAGAAGACAACTGGCAGATAGAGAGAGGAGAGGAGAATAGCAGGTTGAGGCGGTTGAGAGTGGAGACTCGTAGACCACCCTCAGACGACAAGAAAGACGAGGTGGGTACAAGAAAGAGAAAGTAGGAGGTGTAAAAACAATAGAGAAGAAGAGAGGGAAAAGTAGTGGGATGGAGTCAGACGAGATAAGACAATAGTCGAGACGGGGGACGAAGAATTAAGAGAGACAGGGGGGGGGTAAGTGGGAGGTGAAGAGACCACGGCAAGTGAAAAGAGTCCGAAAAAATCATAAACACTACATACAACCTCGTCAGAAACCGATCACATAGATTCGAAACCCTCGTTTCGTCTCGGTTTACCGTCCGCACGCGTTCCATCGAGGACACAAACCTGCTCGAGGGAGAAATAGTGGTCGAGACTCTATAAGGAAACCAGGGCTCGGTCCATAGATAGAAAACAACGACTGCCTAGTAAATAAGTATGTAGAACCCTACGAATAGAAAATTACTATTCTAAGTCAAGTTGAATTTTACGAGTACGTCATATACAGACCAGAATTTCATTTCCCAAGTTTATAAAAAACATAAAAAAAATAAGATACAAGAATATAACAAAAAGAAAAAACAAAAAAAAAAAAAAAAGAGAGATCAGACTAGGCGATATTCAAAACCGTATGTGAAAAATTAATGTATTGTTATACCTCGGTCTTAGAGGAGTAAGTGGAAAAGAAGACTCAGAAGTGAAAGAGTGAATGTAGAGGAAAACACAGCGTAGGAGAAGCGAAAGAGGTCTTGCGGTAAGGGTAAGTATAAAGAGCAAGACTGCTTGATAGAGTAAAGAGAACCAATATTAGACCAATGCGAACAAGATCACAACTCTCTCGTATTTTTTTAGTATTTTGGTCTGTTTTCATAGTCAACAAAAAATACCATTGGATCGAGGTAGCGAGAACGGGAGGAGGTCGTAGGATTACTGACAAAGGTGTCTCATACTTCAAATACCTTCCTACCGAGGTCGAGGTCCGAAACGCGAGGCGAAGACAGGCACACCAAACATTACAACTATATGCACATGTACACATCCTTTTTGTAGATTGTCTCGAAATCCATGTAATTAACACATACAACTGTTATGTATGAACCAAATAAGGACGACACAACAAGAAGAGGTTTTACGTACAGCAAAAACCCCTCGACCAGAGAAACATTTATCGATTTGTAACTACTTGAATAACAAGCCTACCACGACGAAACAGGAACAACTGACGAAACAACAGACAAAGAAACAAAAACCTAAAAATAAATATGCAAGCGATACAACTTCATAGAGTATAATATATAAACATACCACAACCTACTATAAAAGCCAACAGGACAACAACACACACATAGAAATACAACCAAACATAAATCACAAAACACAGAAACAGTAACCACAATATAAACACATAACTTGTACTTCGCAAATATACAAGTACAAAAAAATATATAGAAACACAACAAAAGACGAGCAGAGTTTGGCAGTGAATGACAATTATAATAACAAAACAAACTCAAGTAGGGAGTGGGGTTTTTGTACGTTAAAATAGGAAACACCCTACTTTTTTATTGAGCATATGTGACTAATCTTACAATTGAGACTTAGACAGAAATAGTAAACAAAAGAAGTTAATCGAACAACACAGAATTTCTACTTCGGGAACACAAAATACTCGCCCGTCTGACCCAAGTTGAGCGTGTGTTTTAGCGGGTATGCTACAAATTATTCGACACACACAAACAACAAAAGAACAAAAAGAAAACAACACACAAACACACAAACACAACCACACACAACAACACACACCACACAACAAAACACCCACCCACAACCACACAACGCCCCCCACCCACCCCACCCGCGGAACGCCCCGCACCCCCCACACACACCACACACACACCACCACGCACACATACACAACACACACCCACGCCCACCACCAAACACACAACACCCACCACACACACAAACAACACAAACACACATAAACACGAGAAAGTCTAGGGTATGTCACAAGTAAGATATGAATAATAATACTGTCACATCAGAATTACAAATCATTACACGTGTGTAGTAAAGAATAGTTTGGATAAGAAATTATTGAGGTCCAACTCAGTTAGTTCGAGTTAGATAGTAAATCGATAATGATCGAATTTAAAGACAGAATAAACATAGAGAGAAAATAATACGTCTTAAAAAGAAACAACAATTGTGAGGGTCCCGACCTGAAGGACATCGGTTTCTCCTGTACGATAACATTATGTCACAGATAAGACTAACGACGGACCCAACCGTACAGCTAGGAGACGATAACAACGACACTACGCAGTAAGACACCTCCCCAGCCGAACATCATGACCTTTTTCTAGGACCTCCGTTCCACATCAGATCTAGAGATCTACTCCAGTGTACCGTAGCATCACACTGAACTACGTTGGTGATGGCTGTTAGGAACACAACGAGAAGGCACAAAAGGACCAGATCCGAAATCAAAAGTAATTACCACTATTTGCTTGAGAGAAGCAACATACAGGAGCACGTCTTCCAAATGTGGTAGAGGAAAGCATCCTCATTTTCTGGGCGGACAAAGGTGACTTGGAACCGATAATTTCAGATTTATTTTTAATTTGGAAAAACATCATATGTATTCGAGACCCGCCATTGAATTACCTCGATTAAAACCCAACTGTAGAGATCACACTAGGACCTGCGAAACAAGCGACCTCATTTTCATATCTGTTTAAATTGCATCCGGTCACGAATCCCACCGAAACGCTATTACCTTACGTTCAGGCACACATTTATACGTTTTACTCGCTACCCCCAGTAGCTTGGAACAATCATGGTGGGCATCATCCTCCTGCTATTGGCTGTGATCGCTGTCATTCTGTGGAGGCAGTACTGGAAAAAGATCCTGGGCAAGGTGAGTCTAGAGAGGTCACATGCAAGTGGTGACAGACAACCACTACCACAACCTGTTTGCTGTCCCGGCAGCAAAATGGTGAAAACGAACTCTCCGTTTATGTCAGTGCTGCAGAAGGTTTACACATCTCCTGTCGTAGAGTAAAAAACCCGCCTGTTTCCACTGAACCTTGGCTATTAAAGTCTAAAAAAAGTAAACCTTTTGTAGTATATCAAATGCTCTGGCTTACTTAAACCTAATGTACACTCAGGATTCCTGCTGCTTCGCTTTGGATAAAAGCTAAAACAATTTAACGACCACTTAGCTTTTTGCAAATTAATGCCAAGTGCCGTTGTAAATATGCAAATGAGTGCATGGTCATCAACTTTTTAGCAAGTTTTAGAGCTAGGGCTTGCTTCTTTAATTAAAAAGGTGTAGACGAAACAGCACAGGATACACTGCATTTAGATTTCGGCCTTAAGTCAAGGCTTCATTCAGTGGCAATTGCGCAGTGAACGTGAGGTTTTACGAAACCAATCTAACCCCGATGGTGTCGTTCTTCTAAAGCCATTTCATTGTGCAGTCAACATTTACTTTATAATTATAAGTTAAAGATAAAACCGTTTCTATTGCAACATTAAGTAGGAGTTAGTATTTAGCTGTAACGGTAATTAGAGATGGGTGGTGCAGAGATAGATCTGTCTAGACGGTTCTGAGCCCGAACCCGCTGGCAGGCGTTTGAAGTCTCTGTTTTCAAAGTGGGTTTTCCTAGGATCCTCCGACTTCTGCCCACAGTCCGAAAACAGGCAGGTTAAGTGACTGATGCCAAGTTGCCCGTAGAAGTGAATGTGAGGGTTGGATCTCTATATGTATACTATACCCCATTATTCAGACTCAAGGCTTTATTGTCATTAGCTGCAGTGTAGATATGAAAAACTTAAGCCACAGTTGCGCAAGAGAATGTTTTGAGATGTGGAAGTAAATACAAATAAAATAGAAATAGTGCAAGAAGAGTTTGGAAGTGGTTATTTACTTTGGTTTAGTATGAACGTGAATTAGAGTCAGTGTTTTTATTGTAGATTGGACTCAAACTCCACAACAGTGAGTGTGATCAGTTGTCAGCCATGTGATGACCTGGCATAACCCGCCTCATGTCAACTGGGTTCAACTCCAGCCTCCCATGACTTTATAAAGGATGAGTGATTACAGATAATTGATGAATGTAACGAGCAGTGGCGAACCGTGTCTATCACCCATTGGCTACAAATCAATATATGATTGGTTGATCAAACTGTCAGTCCAAACGTACGCTCTCATTCAGTGCAACGGCCAGGGCATTCGATCAAGGATATAGAATACCTTGGTTGANAGGGGAACTCTGAAAGAACACGCCCATTGGCTACAAATCAATATCTGATTGGTTGATCAATCTGTCAGTCCAAACGTACGCTCTCATTCAGTGCAACGGCCAGGGCATTCGATCAAGGATATAGAATACCTTGGTTGAAGGATATTCGACCCAGAGACCCAGAACAAGATCTGATTGGTTGCTTTCTTTTCTAACACAAAACCACTGAAATGCGTAGAGCATGGTCCGAGAAGGACAAACAAATCAACGTAACACTGTAATATTACAGATCAACAACACAGGGTACGATTCTCATTTATTCATTTTATATACATTTTATTACATTTTATTTATATAATTAAATCGATTTGTAATGAGTGTTCAAGGGTATTCTCTGAATACCTTGAAGGCCCTGACGGTTCGCCACTGGTAACGAGCAATATTCATCATGCAGTCGTGGTTTCAGTAGATAAACTTCTGCAACACAACTGAGATAGTTAACACCCTGGTTCATTGGAGGTAGATGAAGTTCACGTCATCTAGTTGGTTTTCCACAAACATGGTCTTGGTAATCCATAGTCCTTTCTGTCAACAGCTTTCACTTTAATCACTTCCCACAGAATAAATAACCCTAAATGAGAAAATGTTTCTTGTGTGATTAGGCCCCTTTTTTAACAGATAGTGATTTACGGCAGGCTGAGACAATAACTGCCGCTCTTTTGGCAGATTACCTCTAGATCTCCATCTGGATGTGTTGTGGGAATCTTTCATACATTCACTTCAAATTGTTTAAAGATTAAAGGCTTTTTCCACAGTTTGGTCACCATCTGCTTTAGGGATTTAAATGATGCACTAAAACTCAGCTGCCAGTTTATTAAATACAGGTAGGAACAACTAATGCAGTCTAATACAACAATCCTGCAATAATCCTACATTAATGAAGGTTATGTTTTCTTTCACTCATTTAAAAGTAGATGAAAAGGACTCCACCCCTCTGTACTTCACATTGTATCCTTCATGATGAATGAGGGGATTATTGCCAGTCTGGATAAATTTGAACTCCCTGCACCAAAAAAAAAACCGGCACCTGGGTGTTTTGATCCTTCAGAGCAATGACTAGTCAATCGAAAGAAAAAATAATCAGTTTTCAGCCTCTTACACTTGGATATTTCTTGTCTTTTTATGTGTTATTTCATATTAAAGTAAATATGTTGGTGTAAGACTGACCTAACAAGACTTAACATGGACATTTATCACTTATATTTGGCATATAATAAACCAATCGATTAATCGAGAAAATAATCGAGAAATAAATTGTTAATGAAGATCTTAATAATAACATGAGTGTCATACAAGTTTTTGAAGTTCAAATAATTTTAATGCGAAAATGTCCAAAGAAATTCTGTTTTCAGCTTCTTACATTTTGATATATTTCTTGTCTTTTTTACATGATATACAAGGCAATAACTTATGGTGTTGGACAGGGGCAGACTGGGACTAAAAATCAGCCCGGGACTCTCGACCGCAAGTAAATACCGCTAGTAAATTGTCGACCTGGGGGGGTGGTGCTAGTGACCTATCCGACCGGCCCCACTCGGTACCGCAAGTAAATACCGCTTGTAAATTGTCGACGTGGGGGGGGTGGTGCTAGTGACGACTTATCCGACCGGCCCACTTCAGTACCGGCCCATCGGGATTCTGGTGTTAGTCTGACATATCAAGACGAAGAACACACTGGCATGGACATTTTTCACTTATAGTTGGCCTATGATAAACCAATCGAGTAATCGGGAGTTAAATGGTTAATGAAGATCTTAAAGATAACGTGAGTGTGTGTGTCCCCCCCCCCCC